TGAGGGGGTCCCAGGGAGTAGTGAGGGGGTCCCAGGGACTAGTGAGGGGGTCCCAGGGAGTAGTGAGGGGGTCCCAGGGAGTAGTGTTGGGGTCCCAGGGACTAGTGGGGGGTCCCAGGGAGTAGTGAGGGGGTCCCAGGAACTAGTGAGGGGGTCCCAGGGACTAGTGAGGGGGTCCCAGGGACTAGTGAGGGGGTCCCAGAGACTAGTGAGGGGGTCCCAGGGTTGTACTGGGTAAAGCTACAGAAGCTTGTCAGATGCCAGTAAGGCAGTATTTACCTCCCAATATTCCTGGGCTTCTACACTATTCTGCCCTCCGAGAATTCTTATCCCCAGACTTAGCCTGGCGAATTCTGTGTGTCCTCCCTGTGCACTAATGCACCTTCCCTATACACTGGGAACTGGCCTTACAAGATATCTGAGGGTCACAATTCTGCCATTAAATACAACGTGTAAGCTAGCACCCATCCAGCCACTGACCAAATGTATTAGTCAGCACATCTCAGGGTTATACTGCATTGCTGAGATAGCTAGCTTGTCAGTAAGTCGGTATTTTTCTGTTACCCTGAGTGTTACTTACCTAATACTTCCTCATACTTCCAGGTGTTACTCCACACTAGACATGGAGGATCCCCCTGAGATTGTTAAGGAATGTAGACGTTTGTTCCAGTCTGATGCCATGTTTCTTGTACTATCAAATCTCACTGGACTCAAACTTCACGAGCTGGCGCCCGAATCTGATACAGATGACAGCGATGAGGAGACAACACCAAAAGGTATGGCTCAAGGGACATAACCCTGCTGATATCAAAAATGATTTTAAGGTCGCTGCTTATATAGGGTTGAATATACATGGTTGTCTTGAAAAGTCATTGGAAATAGAAATTGCCCTGAATAGTAATTTTAATGAACAATCTTTTAAATGAAAATCCTTGAAATGTTTCACTTTTTCAAACAAGCATTGTCACGAAGCATTGTTCTCTGAAGTTTTCATTGCATTGTACATTGTTCTAATTTTGATCACAGGTAATAAGTTTGGTAATAGAAATGTATGTAAATTTTGATATAGAAAGATCTGAATTTGTTTTATTATATCTAACTTAATTCTTGATTTCTGCTACTATACAACTCAGGAACCTGCTATTGTGCATTGTTTTGATAGACATAAGATTTTCTCCTTGACACTTTGGCTTTGTTTTGGCTCATGTGACACTTTTCATGGTTTTCAAATGTCACAGGAACGAAAGGTGAGCCCTGTTTTTGTAACCAGGTACGGAGATGGAAACATGGTTCGTACACCCTGGTACACGACAATGAGATTGAGGGTGACAGGGAGTTTGCCTTGGATGTTCTCCTATACATAGGCTGTGAAGGTAAGTTAACCTTGTACTACAGCAGTATATTGCAGAATAGAATCTCTCGTATTTCTTTTGTCATTAATATAATTGTCCTGTCTGGATATCCGTCTGGTTTTGTAAATTGTTCAAATTTATAACAGCCAAAGGTGTTGAAGGCTTCATGGAGAGAGAAGCTCAAAAGAGTTTTCCTTGTTATCGATAAATAATAATAAACAAAATATCAAACCAGTAAGAGGGGAATGTTATACAATATTACAGAAGAAATTGTGAAATCTTGATCAAGTGAACTCTAATATTTAAACATGAGAACATATTACATGTATAATAGAGTCCGGTGTAGAGGAACATATTGTTCCTGTACTGGAAAATAACTATAACTATAACTATAACTATATCATCTGCACAGCGGTTTTGTTCAGTGACCAACATTTGTTTCTTGTCTAGGGTGGGAGCCTGACCAGGGAGGGATCACATCCTACATAGCTCTGGGTGCGGATGAGGAGGTCAGTGTTACTCCAAAAATCATCTGGCATTAGATGACTGCAGTTCTTATTTTGAAAACATTTAAAATACACTTCCTATACAACCATAAAATATACTTCCTATACAACCATAAAATATACTTCCTATACAACCGTAAAATATACTTCATAAACAAACATAAAATATACTTCCTATACAACCATAAAATATACTTCCTATACAACCATAAAATATACTTCATATACAACCATAAAATATACTTCCTATATATACAACCATAAAATATACTCCCTACACAACCATAAAATATACTTCATATACAACCAAAGAACATACTTCCTATACAACCATAAAATATACTTCATATACAACCATAAAATATACTTCATATACAACCATAAAATATACTTCCTATACAACCATATAATATACTTCCTATGCAACCATAAAATATACTTCCTATATACAACCATAAAATATACTTCATATACAACCATAACATATACCACATATACAACCATAAAATACACTTCCTATATACAACCATAGAATATACTTCATATACAACCATAAAATATACTTCATATACACCCATAAAATATACTTCATATACAACCACAAAATTTACTTCCTATACAACCATAAAATATACTTCATTATACAACCATAAAATATACTTCATATACAACCATAAAATATACTTCATATACGACCATAAAATATACTTCATAAACAAACATAAAATATACTTCATATACGACCATAAAATATACTTCATATACAACCATAAAATATACTCATATACAACCATAAAATATACTTCCTATACAACCATAGAATATACTTCCTATACAACCATAGAATATACTTCCTATACAACCATAAAATATACTTCATATACAACCATAAAATATACTTCCTATACAACCATAAAATATACTTCATATACAACCATATAATATACTTCATATACAACCATAACATATACTTCCTATATACAACCATAAAATATACTTCATATACAACCATAAAATATACTCATATACAACCATAAAAAATTCTTCCTATACAACCATAAAATATACTTCCTATACAACCATATAATATACTTCATATACAGCCATAAAATATACTCATATACAACCATAAAATATACTTCCTATACACCCATAAAATATACTTCCTATACAGCCATAAAATATACTCATATACAACCATAAAATATACCTCATATACAACCATAAAATATACTTCGTATACAACCATAAAATATACTTCCTATACAGCCATAAAATATACTCATATACAACCATAAAATATACTTCGTATACAACCATAAAATATACTTCCTATATACAACCATAACATATACTTCATATACAACCATAAATATACTTCCTATACAACCATAAAATATTCTTCCTATACAACCATAAAATATACTTCACATACAACCATAAAATATACTTCCTATACAACATACTTCCTATACAACCATAAAATATTCTTCCTATACAACCATAAAATATACTCATATACAACCATAAAATATACCTCATATACAACCATAAAATATACTTCCTATATACAACCATAACATATACTTCATATACAACCATAAATTATACTTCATATACAACCATAAAATACACTTCCTATACAACCATAAAATATACTTCCTATACACCCATAAAATATACTTCCTATACAACATACTTCCTATACAACCATAAAATATACTTCACATACAACCATAAAATATACTTCCTATACAACCGTAAAATATACTTCATAAACAAACATAAAATATACTTCATATACGACCATATAATATACTTCATATACAACCATCTAATATACTTCATATACAACCATAACATATACTTCCTATATATAACCATAAAATATACTTCATATACACCCATAAAATACTTCCTATACAACCATATAATATACTTCCTATACAACCATAAAATATTCTTCCTATACAACCATAAAATATACTTCCTATACAACCATAAAATATCCTCATATACAACCATAAAATATACTTCATATACGACCATAAAATATACTTCATATACAACCATAGAATATACTTCATATACAACCATAAAATATTCTTCATATACAACCATAAAATATACTCATATACAACCATAAAATATACCTCATATACAACCATAAAATATACTTCCTATATACAACCATAACATATACTTCATATACAACCATAAATTATACTTCATATACAACCATAAAATACACTTCCTATACAACCATAAAATATACTTCACATACAACCATAAAATATACTTCCTATATACAACCATAAAATATACGTCATATACAACCATAAAATATACTTCCTATATACAACCATAACATATACTTCATATACAACCATAAAATATTCTTCATATACAACCATAAAATATACTCATATACAACCATAAAATATACCTCATATACAACCATAAAATATACTTCCTATATACAACCATAAAATATACGTCATATACAACCATAAAATATACTTCGTATACAACCATAAAATATACTTCCTATACACCCATAAAATATACTTCCTATACAACATACTTCCTATACAACCATAAAATATTCTTCCTATACAACCATAAAATATACTTCCTATATACAACCATAACATATACTTCATATACAACCATAAAATACACTTCCTATACAACCATAAAATATACTCATATACACCCATAAAATATACTCATATACAACCATAAAAAATTCTTCCTATACAACCATAAAATATACTCATATACAACCATAAAATATACTCATATACACCCATAAAATATACTCATATACAACCATAAAAAATTCTTCCTATACAACCATAAAATATACTCATATACACCCATAAAATATACTCATATACAACCATAAAATATACTCATATACACCCATAAAATATACTCATATACAACCATAAAAAATTCTTCCTATACAACCATAAAATATACTTCATAAACAAACATGAAATATACTTCCTATAGAACCGTAAAATATACTTCCTATACAACCATTAAATATACTTCCTATACAACCATAAAATATCCTCATATACAACCATAAAATATACTCACATACAACCATAAAATATACTTCCTATACAGCCATAAAATATACTTCATATACAACCATATAATATACTTCATATACAGCCATAAAATATACTTCCTATACAACATACTTCCTATACAACCATAAAATATCCTCATATACAACCATAAAATATACTTCATATACGACCATATAATATACTTCATATACAACCATCTAATATACTTCATATACAACCATAACATATACTTCCTATAGACAACCATAAAATATACTTCATATACGACCATATAATATACTTCATATACAACCATCTAATATACTTCATATACAACCATAACTTATACTTCATATACAACCATAAAATATTCTTCATATACAACCATAAAATATACTCACATACAACCATAAAATATACTTCCTATACAGCCATAAAATATACTTCATATACAACCATAGAATATACTTCATATACAACCATAAAATATTCTTCCTATACAACCATAAAATATACTTCCTATATACAACCATAAAATATACTTCATATACGACCATAAAATATACTTCATATACAACCATAAAATATACTTCATATACAACCATAAAATATCCATTTACCTAATTTTAATGAAAATAAACAAGACCAGTTTGGTGATCTGTTTTGGGTAGTTTCCATCGAGAGTTTACACTGTAGATGTGGCATACTCTCAAGACTGTTATTATATCCTACTGATACCATAAATCACTTTTTTGCATGTACATGTACTTCATTTTACAAACTATGCCTGTAAGTTTTATTCACAAAGATATCAATTCACTTTTGAGAGTGTGCTTTTTCATTATCTATAGGTAATTATCTACAGGATAATATGAAAATAAAGTGATTTACAGTGTGATTTTAATAAATGTCAATAATGTGACAAAAGCTTAACAATTGCCCGCGTCTTCTTTCCAGTTGCTCTCAGTGAGCCCATCAGAAAACAGTCTAGCACTGGTATACCGTGGCCAAGACACACTCCACTTCGTCAAACACCTCAACGCCAGGTCCAGACAGCTACCCAACAAACAATTTTACGATATATGTTGTACATATTATGAATAAATATTTTAATAAGATTTAATGGCATTGATTTATATTTTTTAAGGATTTTATTTTTTATCATTCTTTTAAAATCACATATGATACTCTAGACCTGGCTCTGTTAAGTAGTGGGTGTTCTGAAGAACTTGGAGACAATGACGGATGCTGATGCAGTCTATTCGGGCAAAGATGGTTACTGTGGTAAAGCTAATGCTGGATTTGAAGATATACAATTGCGTATAGTAATTCAATCCATCAAATGTAAATATAGACTTAGTTGTTATAATACTATTTACTTGCCATGAAGCTTGCTCCAAGTCCTTGATGCTGAGACTGACTAAGTGTACTGTACCAATAGAGTAAAGGATATGATTTTAATCAGATCACATTTTCTTGTAAACAAGTATCTTCAGGACAAAATTTATGCATTTGCTTTCCTACAAAATTTATTGGAAAAGATACTTCATAGATAGTCGAAAGTGAGCTTGTGTATTGGTCCCTAATACATGTCACGTACTGATAGCTGTGTTAGGACTACATTTATAGTTCTGAAGTGACGCTCAAGAGAAAGTTACAGTTTTAAGAATATGTGATAGGCATATGCTTTTTTGAAGAGTTCTTGTGTATACGTGTTTATTCCGTCTTTGCGTATTGCAGAGTTATCTGCTCTTGTGAGCAGGGATTGATTGTTACATCATTTGTTCGTGAGAGTAACGTCATCAATTTTTGAGAAAACGACATAATTTTCTCACACAAACCAATGACGTAATAATCAATACCTGCTCACAAGAGAAGATAACTCTGTAATACGCAAAGACGGAATAGGATGGTAACTACATTTATAACACACAGCAAGGCTCCTCAAAATCTGAGCATAAACGACATACCATAGTATATCATACCTTTAAAATAAATGAACTAAAACATTTTTCTGAAAAATCTGAAAAAATGTTTCCATGAAAGATAATGTAAGACATTTGATAATTAAAGAAGATTTATTCATATTAAAATATACATGTCATTTACAAAAAGTGGGACTAGGAGAGTTCTATAGCAACATAATTACATGAACATTCATATAATCATTTTATATCGGACAATGTCAGTTACATTCTTTATATAATGTCATTTACCAGGTACCTAAATTGGGACTAGACAGGTACTATTGCAATGTAATTCAATGTATACACAATGTTATCATTATATATTAAAAAAAAATCAGATATATTTTTTAACATTTCAATAATTTTGGACTAACATGTGTTATTGCTATGTAAATAAAGATAAATTCAAGTTGTTTTATACAGCAATTTTTCACCCATACAAACATAGAAAGTGCTGTGGTTATTTTCCCAGCATCGAAGAAGATCTGAACTTTATCAAATCAAAAAGATACATACCCATTACTACCAACATAATTGCATAGCCATATTATTTGATATTATAAAAATCATTCATTGTACATATTAAGGCACAAGTATACCCTGAAATACCTTGTATGAATTTTGAAGAAACCTTGTATTCAACAAACCATATATTATACTACAGTGTACTTATATTCTTATTAGCGACTTTTTCAACATATTAACAAGAAAATAATAATAACGATACTTAAATGATCAACAGTCAGAAGGAAAGCATCTTTTAAATCACAAACTAATTAACATTAAAACTGTGTATCATTAAATTATTTAAAATATGTAAATTGTTAAAAATATGTCATTTGCATACATGTCAAACCGGACTCATCAAAATATATGAAAACAAATGTACATGAAAGGTTCAGAGGGCCTGTTTCTCTCACTTTAAATATAATTTAGTAAAGAGGAAATACAATGTATGGAATATTATAAGACTCTTTCATGCACAGGGGTGTAGGATCGGGAAATTCCACCCACAGGGTTTTCAAATTTGAAGCCGAGGGTTTTGCCAAATTTGAAAATCCAGAGGGTGGAGTTTCCCTATCCTACACCCTTGGGCAAGAAAGAGTATTTTTTTCTCTCATTTCAACCATCAGAATAAGCTACGAAACCATGAAAATGCATTTGGACTGGCCACCATTTAAAAAAAAAAAAAAAATCCCTCTGAGCTTTTTAGACGAAAACGAATTAGCCAGCCAGATTAAGCATATCCCATTTTTGCAAACAATATTTGTGTTGAAAATTTAAACAAATCTTTCTAACATGTACGGTAAATATATCGTAAAAGGATTTAATTTCATCACGTCGCCTTTTCCGCATTGTGGCGTTCGAGAGTTCCAAATTTGTGACGTCACGTCATTGTTTAGCCATTGTGACGTCACGTCACGTGAAATGGGGTGTAAGATAGAAACTTCCTACACCCCTTTCCTACCCTGGACTAATAGAATCTTACATGGATCTGTTCCGTGGACAGGGATATCTCAATCCGAGTGTAAGAGTTTGGCTGGTCAGCACGAAGCTTGCAGAGTACTGGCCAGCCAAACTCTTACACGAGGGTTGAGATATCCCTGTCTATGGAACAGACCCATGTTTGATTATTTTTCTCACAAACATAATACAAATAAACATCGATCTTATTCTTGCGGCAAACCCCAAAGCCCTAGGGTTGAGACGGATGATTCCCCATTCACAACAATTGTATGACATCACGCTAACAATAAAATGACGTCACGTCGACAATCCATTACTATGACGTCATAGCGCGTGTCAGCTGTCTTTCCCTACCCCGTGTAAGATAGAGTTATCTTTTCCCTAGCAACAACGGGATCACCCTGTGAAGTATGTGAGAAAGCTCTATCTTACACACAGGGATATGAGAGAAATTAAATTCCTACCCCCTATGTTGGCCCATCGTTCTGGCCTCTTCAGGATTTTAGCGAAGATTTATTCCTGCTTAATTAGGTTAAAACCCCCAAGCAGTTCCTCCCGAGTTGTCATTAATATTAATTGTTAACGGACACCTCAGTATGGCACAATCTAACCTTGGTGCTTTGGACAAGATGAGCCAAGAATGACAGACTTATTTCATAATGATGTTATGAAAACCTATGTAAAATCAACAACTGTAAGACATCTTATCTTTCAAATCAATATGAACTGAAGATTTAAATTCATGAACGAATTAATGCAAAAATTTCTCTTAAAAACAAAGTGATTTTAAGTTCCACCTGTACAACAGTTGTACAACATTTTAACAAACAATACTCATGGTTTCTGATAGACAATTTCTCTAAATCACTTCCTCCATAATGAGAATAGATGGCTGACATTTAATTGATTAAGCTATTGAAGTCATGACATCAAATTAAACGTACTGTAAAAGGTTTACTGCAAACAGTTGAACTTACAAAATGCAACATGTTGTAATCTGCATGTTGCAACAATGAAACCAAAATTTAACAGTACAAAAATGAACAAAAAACAATTTTAATCATCTCTGCTCTTTGTTAAAAGAGTCAAAAATGAAGTTATTGCAAAATATCCTGATTGATGCTGTAATGTAGGAGCAATTATCTCAAAGTCATTCACTCCAAGGTTCTAGTTCATTTACAAATAAATTTAAGAACATCAGAATCACAAAACCTCAGACTGTACACATGTATATTTATGTAACAGGAAAGGAAATATATAACAGCCAGTTAAGGGGTTTGAACCCTAGACCTCCAGACAGACACTCTCACCAACTAAGCTACCTGCAGGCCACCAGCAATCTACCAAGTCCCAGTTTTGTCACTTTTCTCCATCTTTCACCAAAGTCTTTGACCCTTGATGACACACGAGACCTTATACCACTTTTGTGGAGGTATATTTAGTTGGGCACCAGATTTATCAGAAAAGGAAAAATGATTGTGTACTACTGACAGGATTCAAACCCAGTACACCTAATCTCTAGACAGATGTTGTAACACTTACAGCTGAGCAACTTGGTCACTGGCGACCGACCCAGACCAGTAATGCCATATGTCAGACACTATCTTTGACCAATAACATGTACAAGTAATTTCAACATCTCTTTGCATAATTTGACTTTTGTAAAAATTCTGCAACAGTGTTTCTGATTATATTTTATGATTCTTGACATGTAGTGAAAAAAATGCTCTCCATGTTAAAGATAGTTACATGAAATGAATTTTAATGTAATCCCCAAAAATAATTCTTATAAGCTTAATAATGCTGTACCATTATGTACCTAAAATTATTTATGCCAATATTTACCCAAAATCATTACCTCAAACAAATGAAGGGACTTCAATCAAACTGCAGTACTGTGCAAGTCATCAAAAATGGAATGTTTTGAAGCCAACAAACAAAACTGAATAAAAATGCATTTTCTTTACAAACACAAAAATATTTTAAATATCTAAATATTTATAGATCCCTCCCTACTTATAAGTACATGTATCCATAGTAAACCATCACCAGTAACAATGTCTTTATTATTTGGTTGTCCAAACCAATGGTTGTTTAGTCAACCAGTATATACATGTACTGCGAAAATAAATCTCATCAATCAACCGGTAAATTGTATAATAAACATGAAACAAATGAATGGCTAATAATTTTTGTGAAGGTGATGGTGTGATAATACAAAAAATAGTTCACAAAAAAAAACTTTTTCTATTGATTTTAGAATTGATTGTAAACACTGTTTCAGTTTATAGGAAACAAAAAATATAGCCTCACAAATATGAACAACTGAAAAATATAAATGTGACGAAAAAAGGAAAAAAAATGTGTTTGATTTATAAGGAGATTCAAATCTAACAGCTTTGAAATAAATGCTGAGACAACCTAGTAAGTGGTGGCTGGTATCATGTGGCTTGACTGTCGACATGCAACTAATAATAATCATAGAAACAAAATGGATACATAAAAACATCACAAGGATTGTCAGATGTGTGAAATGTTGGTCCAAAAGATAAATATTGATTTTTTTCCCCCGTGAAAATATTATTTAAAACCGGATGATCTTAAGTTAAATCCATATTGGTATACAATTATATAATCAATTCTGTAAGGCAGGTTAAAGTTCATCTTTTTGTTTCAAACCGTTGTTTAGTTTTGCAAATTGAATCATCCTATGTAAGTCTTCAAGTTTGTTGTCAGTTGTCTTGATCCAGAAATTAGCTATCCACTTGGTTCCCGTGGTGACGGGACATCCCCCATGGTATGTATACTTGTCCATAGCACCTAGCCAGCCAGTGTCGGGGTCAACTTGGTGGTTGTACCAGATAATGGCCTTGCCCTTGGCTGGGGTCACATGGAGGTTCGCGTCACTGCACTTCTTGTAAAGGTTCATCAACTGCTCATCCTGCACCCTCTATTGGGAAAACTAGGGTGTCAGTTATTGAGAAACAAATTTAAAATTTAAGATTATTGTTTACTAAAAAATGTTCATGAGAAACATGTATAAAAAAGACTTGGACCATGCCATTTTTCAAAACTAGAAAATGCTTTACAAACAAACAGATGCCCTAACTCCTCAGAAATGACACTAAATGCAAATTCTAACCAAAGAAATGGAGCAAAACACAAAGCCTAACCTAAATGGTGATATTCCGTCTTTGCGTATTTCAGAATTATCTTCTCTTGTGAGCAGGTATTGATTGTTACGTCATTGGTTAGTGTGAGAAAATTACGTCGTTTTCTCAAAAATTGATGACGTTACTCTCACAAACCAATGACGTAACAATCAATACCTGCTCACAAGATAAGATAACTCTGCAATACGCAAAGATGGAATAGGCTTCTGGAACACCTTCCCATCCACCAGGTATTCCAGTTTACAAATTTATATTTCAACTCATAGCTGAGGCACTTGGAAAAGTTACGCTATTATCTTACATCCCCACATAGAGATCCCAGTGTATGATACTCCTAACCTTGTACTGACAAGCATGGCCGTACTAAAGACTTTGGGACAAACTCAGGTCAAGAGGAAGAGTATGTCAAAGTGGTGAATCATCTACTAAATATCTTGATACTAACTCCGCTAGACTTTCCCTTTCCCTCAACTAGCAGATCAATCCACTAGTAATATGTCGTCTCATGTTCCATTCTAAGCAGAGGTGCTTGGAACAATTAGGTAACCTACATTGTCGGCTATACTGTATATCACTAACTTTATGTCAAAAATAATTTTACTAATCACACTTACCACCATGTCAACTATGTCATTACCAGCCAAAGGGAAGGCCGTTTCTCCTCCCCCCTCAACATCACTTAGATAGAACAGCACTGTCATGTACCTGGGGGGAAAACAAATAGAAGAGCTTAGAGCTTAGAATATACATGTACCGCTAGGGGCACGTCATTGCTGATACAGCACTGTCAAATACCTGTGGGGAAACAACACAGATGGAACGGTATTGTCACCTACATGTGGGAGAAGCAATACTGATGAAACAGCACTGATATGAACCTACAGAATTACAATTTTGGTAGAACAGCAATGTCATGTACCTGTGGGAAAACAACACGGGCGGACGTTCTCTGTTTTGTACCTCTGTCAGAACAACACTCAGACAAACACTTGCACATATGTATAACTGCGTGTGAAACAACAGCACAGACACCCTCTGCTGTAATATTCTTTACATATTAATATGTCTGGAAGTGGTAACTTCCTTCATCAAATGTGTAGATACAGCTCCCCTTCACACTTTACCGGAACATTGACTTTATAAAACCATGCACCGAATTTGGCTTATTAACTGATAAATTATGATGGTAAAAGGTGTTTCACTAATAAAAACAAGAAAGTACCCAAATCATCAAATAAAGAACAAATGACAAGAGTATCTCCATTTTTTATCCACCACAACATTACTGTCCGATCTGACCTGCAGATTCTGCATTGCCGAGTTCTGCGACGTGTACAACATGGAATTTTGTCGTTCACCTCGGAGGAGTCATAGTGGGCATTGTAGTGACCTTTGACTCCATAGGTCACAACCTACAACAGCAAAACATGTGATAAAGTAGTTTGCACAGGTCATGATACAATTGGCTCAGGAAATATGAAATATAAGCAGGAAATATGACCTCAAGGTACCAATTCACAGATCTCATTGGAACAAGAAGGCCATTTTATACTATTGTAATATTATCATTTTTCCATCCTTATAATTAGTTTCTTTCTCCTTTATCATTGAGTATTTCAGGCAGCCAAATGAATATTTATCTGGAAAAATCATGAGAAGTTATTACTACATGTTATCATGTTAGTAACAATTGTAGGTACCGGTATATACTGTATTTTTTAACCAATAAGGTCATTCCTGGTAGTAAGCCCACCCATATCTATTTCAGTTTATATTGTATGCCAACAGATGCTTTTTCATTGTCACATAGTAAGCCCATCCCACTATTTGTGCCAGACATTATCTATTGGTCCCCTGGCCATGGGCTAACTGCAGAATATATAAGGTAATATATACAAGCTATACCACAGATGTCTTTACCCACGTAGCAGATAGTTTGAGGGTACAATACCGAGAAATATATCCATTTGTCTGCAGTCTGCACCGTAAAGATGATGTACATGTTACATTTACATATCTAGTGAATTAGTTACATGGACGACCACATGAACGTTACTGTGTTACCTGGAAGTCACTCATCTTTATCAGCTCAATGGGAAGGTCAACAGCCCTGGACACCCTGGACATACAGAAGACGATATGGCTAAAATCTTGCATATTTTTTCTTAGAAAGGCAATTCAAATTGATAATTTATATGGGCGGGGTGTGTGGGGTGTGTGTGTGGTGTGTGTGTGTGTGGGGGGGGGGGGTAGGTAAAAAATGATTATTTACATTAATACAGCGGTTCTTAGGAAATAAATAATTGTTGCAATCAAGTGAAAATTTACTTGCAAGAAGGACAGTACAAAAAATTAAACTGAATATTACAATATTACACATTTTCAATTTACATATCAGATATGTCAATTGAAAATGTGTCAGCAAATCAATTTAAAAGTCAAAGATACCGTTAATAAAAGACAATTTCATGTTTCTTATATTGAAATTCTTTTGGAGAGGAGAAACATGTTGTCATGATTAAGGTAATATATTTTACAGAGATTATAGAGTGACAGATATCACATGCTTCCTTAAAACACCTTACCTGTCCTGAACCTGATCAAACACTCTATCCTTGGAGTTGTCGGGGAATAGCCATACTTGTTTGCTGAAACGGGAATGTTTTTCTGGTTGTTGTTGTAAAAACTCGTTGAAGTATTGCATCAAGTCTGCAGGACTGAAGTCCTTTAGTTCTTCTGCAGATATTTGTTCTGTGCGAATAGAAGAGATGAATCTTTTGACATGGATATAGTATCGCAGGGGGATGACACAATTTGATTTTTTCCATCAACTACAATTGCAAATCTGCTTAATCGAAAATATTATCATGTCCATGGGTTTAGGATAGGAAATTCCACCTAAGGGGTTTTATGGTTAAATCCAGAGGCTCTGCTGAGGGTTTTGCACCAATTTGAAAATCTGAAGGATGAAACTTCCCTTTTCTACACCACTGCATATGGAAGAGTACGTTCCGTTCATTCCAATCACTAGAATTAGCTCAAAAAGCCCATAAAAGGTGGCAACTTCTGTACTGTGGCATAGGAATGGTCCGATTTTGTGACAACACATTATCGTTATCTCTTTGTTGCATCATACACACGGAATAGGGTGTAAGATAGATAGTTCTTACACCCCTTTCATAGACTGGATAGTGCTGTCATAGACTCATAGGAGTGAGAGAAAATCGTAACTGGCATTAGTCCTAGGCTTTTCAAAAAATAGTTGGACACATGAATTGCAACACAAAACAGTTTAGTGCCCATAATAATGTGCTCCAAAATCCACACATCAAAAACGAATGTTTTCCCTTAGTAACCTCCCCACCTTGTTGAAAATACAGTATTATAAAGTTACTTGGTAAACATGTATGGCAAAAGTCTTTATTTGAATCTAACATTTTAGGAGTTTTATATTTAGGGGATAACCCTAATGTATTTCGAAATTTGCGGCGGTATATCGTGATAATACTGTCGCAAATTGAGTTTTACTGGTGATGCCAAGCAGAGCCAGTAAATCGGATATTCATCATCTCATGGAAGGTGCTTACCATCTCCATCTTTATCCAACCCTGTATCTGCATACCTGTACCAAACAAACAAAATTATTACTACCTTATTTGCTTCTTTAAAATTTCATTTTTAATATTATTTCACAAGCAGCTTTGAATTCATACTTACTGAAAATACATTTTATGAATAAGATATTCTTAGAATGGTCAAATAATCGAATATGTTACACAGCACAATTTTACATCTGTTGTTCTTAACTTGAGATATATCGTAGTATATACATTCAACATATGATATGAATTTTCTTTCCCAGTTCTACATTTATTATTTTTTGATAACATATATAACAAATGTACAAACAACTGATTTTACTAAAATATAGAAGCACGGGTAAATGTTTGGCAGCCTAGTGTGATGTGGAATTGTCTTCTATTCACGGAAATCTCATAGTCCAGTTAATTTCAGCCCACAACGAGGATTGTGATCGGATTTCAAAGCAATTAAAGATGCAAAAAAATAACCTATATTGTAGCTTCTGCGTTAAGTTTGATGTTTATAATTCATCACAAGAAAATATATAAAATTAAGCTTAAAATATATCCAAATTGATTGAAATTCACTCAATATTACCGGCATATGTAATACTTGTATTTTATAAAACATGAAGTGGTAGTATCATCAATGGGGTCACACCAAGATGACACGATCTAGCACATGATCATTACATCTTGTTGAGAAGTTCAACACATCAACATGGAGAGTCCAACCTGGCTTTTTATGGTGTCAAACACCCTAAACTGCAGGGATTTTATCTTTGAGGCTAGTCCTGCAATACCACTTACATTTTCAGTATATCCTCTCGATCAGGGTAAATATCCATGCCACTTTCAATAGTAAGCCTCATCTACAACATAGCAATACATCTACAATACAGAGGGCAAACAATACACTATTTTGTCAATTTAACTGTCATGTATATTGATGAGCTTATTATCAGACATGGACTTATTATCAGACATGGGCTTATTCTCAGACATGGGCTTATTATCAGACATGAGCTTATTATCAGACATGGGCTTATTATCAGACATGGGCTTATTATCAGACATGGGCTTATTTGTGGATAACTGCAGCATTGTCTATGTGAGTCTCCAAACTATGTCCATACACCTAGGTGTTTTAAAGGAGATGCGTTTTAAACAATTACTTTTCTTCTCCCCACTGGTCCCTGCCCGTCTCTCACTGGGCCCTGCCCCTCTCCCATTGGGCCCTGCCCCTCTCTCCCTTAGGGTCACCTTCGGGCTAGTCACTTTGAATACCGACAGGGGAGATTTTTGGCAACAATGAGCTACCTTGTTCCATCACATTCACTCTTGGTGATTTGCCTTGTCTATACTTCGCACTGACAGGCAGAGTCAATACAAATGTGTACCTCATTTACACTAAATTTTGATCGGGGATAATATACCTTGTTCACAGTGAAGTTTTGGCATAGAAAATGTACCTTGCTTATAAATACAAAAGTTTTGAAAGAGAGTGAGTTAATTATCATGGTCATGCTTAGTTTTGATAATAGATATTTACCTTGTTCTCATGAGTTTTTACTGGAGATGGTTACCTCATTCACACTGAATTTTGACAGGGAGAGAGCTCAAGTTTACTTCATTCACACTGAGTTTTGACAGGGAGAGAGCTCAAGTTTACCTCATTCCCACTGAATTTTGACAGGGGACAGAGCTCAGGTTTACCCCATTCACACTGAATTTTGACAGGGGAGAGCGCTCAGGTTTACCCCATTCACACTGAATTTTGACAGGGGAGAGAGCTCAAGTTTACCTCATGCACACTGAATTTTGACAGGGAGAGAGCTCAAGTTTACCTCATTCACACTGAATTTTGACAGGGAGAGAGCTCAAGTTTACCTCATTCCCACTGAATTTTGACAGGGGATAGAGCTCAGGTTTATCCCATTCACACTGAATTTTGACAGGGGAGAGCGCTCAGGTTTACCCCATTCACACTGAATTTTGACAGGGGAGAGAGCTCAAGTTTACCTCATTCACACTGAATTTTGACAGGGATAGAGCTCAAATTTACCTCAATTACACTGAATTTTGACAGGAGAGAGAGCTCAAGTTTACCTCATTCCCACTGAATTTTGACAGGGAAAGAGCTCAAGTTTACCTCATTCACACTGAATTTTGACAGGGATAGAGCTCAAATTCACCTCAATTACACTGAATTTTGACAGGGAGAGAGCTCAAGTTTACCTCATTCACACTGAATTTTGACAGGGTAGAGAGCTCAAGTTTACCCCATTCACACTGAATTTTCCCAGGAAGAGAGTTTACCTCATTCACACTGAGTTTTATAAGGAGAACGTTTCCTAATTTACAATGTTTTTTTACAGATTAGATTTACCTCATTCACAATGAGTTTTTACAGGGGAGAGTTAGCTCATTCCCATTGAGTTTTTACAGGGGAGAGTTAGCTCATTCGCATTGAGGTTTTACAGATTAGAGTTACCTCACTCAGAATGAGTTTTTACAGGCGAGAGTTAGCTCATTCGCAACGATTTTTACAGAAGAAAGTTACCTCATTCACATTGAGTTTTTTACAGGGGAGAGTTACCTCATTCACGCTAAGTTTTTTGTCTCTGTCCTTGTCCATCAGTTTGAAGCCATCCTTGTTATGACCAGAGCTATCTGTGGTCACACTGTCCTTCAGACCCTCCTGGTGGGCGGTCTCAATAAAATGATCACATTCCTCTGCCGTCAAAAACTCTGGTATTTCTGCAGAACAACAATGGCAATGTGATCTTTTAATCAATTAAATATAATGTCCATTAATATTGTTATTAAAACTGAATAGCAATGCTGCTGTCTGAGTTCAACAATCAGTACATAACTGTCATGATAATGGACTTGCCCATTATAAAAGTCATCAACATGATATTTCAATTTGATTCCGAATTAAACCAAATCTAAGAAACTTGAAAAAAATACATCTTTTCAAAGCTTTAAAAAAACAGTATCAGTATCAGTAAATGTTTATGGATATATATCTTGATGCTCGAAATGTGGCATTTTCAGAGGTCATCGGCATCATTTTCAAAATTGGTTGTTTATAAGATTTTCAGGTTTCTTTATGTAAACTCTTGTGGAAATAATTTTGATTTTAGATCATCTATCCAATTTAAAAATCCTATTCAAGATTTTAGGCAACATATTCTGAAGATTCATTTCCTATGGAAATGATGTGCAGTGCCAGGTATTTAGATAAGTAGCATAAAAGTATTTATTTCCATGCCAGCTGACACTGTCATCAGAGAAGTTATACAGTATTTATTGCTATGCCAGCTGACACCGTCATCAGAGAAGTTGTACAGTGTTTATTGCCATGCCAGCTGACACTGTCATTAGAGAAGTTATAAAGTATTTATTGCCATGCCAGCTGACACTGTCATCTGAGACGGTATACAGTATGTATTGCCATGCCAGCTGACACTGCCATTAGAGAAGTTATAAAGTATTTATTGCCATGCCAGCTGACACTGTCATCTGAGACGGTATACAGTATGTATTGCCATGCCAGCTGACACTGCCATTAGAGAAGTTATAAAGTATTTATTGCCATGCCAGCTGACACTGTCATCTGAGACGGTATACAGTATGTATTGCCATGCCAGCTGACACTGTCATTAGAGAAGTTATAAAGTATTTATTGCCATGCCAGCTGACACTGTCATCAGAGACGGTATACAGTATGTATTGCCATGCCAGCTGACACTGTCATCAGAAAAGTTATACAGTATTTGTTGCCATGCCAGCTGACACTGTCATCAGAGAAGGTATACAGTATTTAATGCCATGCCAGCTGACCCTGTCATCAGAGGAATCGTACAGTATTTATTGCCATGCCAGCTAACACTGTCATCAGAAAAGTTATACAGTGTTTATTGCCATGCCAGCTGACACTGATATCAGAGAAATTATACAGTATTTATTGCCATGCCAGCTGACATTGTCATCAGAGAAGTTATACAGTATTTGTTGCCATGCCTGCTGACACTGTCATCAGAGAAGGTATACAGTATTTATTGCCATGCCAGCTAACACTGACATCAGAGAAGTTATACAGTATGTATTGCCATGCCAGCTAACACTGTCATCAGAAAAGTTATACAGTATTTGTTGCCATGCCTGCTGACACTGTCATCAGAGAAGGTATACAGTATTTATTGCCATGCCAGCTAACACTGTCATCAGAAAAGTTATACAGTATTTGTTGCCATGCCAGCTTACACTGTCATCAGAGAAGTTATACAGTATTTATTGCCATGCCAGCTGACCCTGTCATCAGAGGAATTGTAAAGTATTTATTGCCATGCCAGCTGACCCTGTCATCAGAGAAATTGTACAGTATGTATTGCCATACCAGCTGACACTGTCATCAGAGAAGTTATGCAGTATGTGTTGCCATGCCAGCTGACACCGTCATCAGAGAAGTTGCACAGTGTTTAGTGCCATGCCAGCTGACACTGTCATCAGAGACGGTATACAGTATGTATTGCCATGCCAGCTGACACCGTCATCAGAGAAGTTGCACAGTGTTTATTGACATGCCAGCTGACACTGTCATCAGACAAGTTATACAGTATTTGTTGCCATGCCAGCTGCCACTGTCATCAGAGAAGGTATACAGTATTTATTGCCATGCCAGCTGACACTGTCATCAGAGAAGTTATGCAGTATGTATTGCCATGCCAGCTGACATTGTCATTAGAGAAGTTATACAGTATTTATTGCCATGCCAGCTTACACTGATATCAGAAAAGTTATACAGTATGTATTGCCATGCCAGCTGACGATGATATCAGAGAAATTATACAGTGTTTATTGCCATGCCAGCTGACACTGTCATTAGAGAAGGTATACAGTATGTATAGCCATGCCAGCTGACACTGTCATCAGAGAAGTTGCACAGTGTTTATTGCCATGCCAGCTGACACTGTCATCAGAGAAGTTGCACAGTGTTTATTGCCATGCCAGCTGACACTGTCATTAGAGAAGGGATACAGTATGTATAGCCATGCCAGCTGACACTGTCATCAGAGAAGGTATACGGTATTTATTGCCATGCCAGGTGACACTGTCATCAGAGAAGTTATACAGTATTTATTGCCATGCCAGGTGACACTGTCATCAGAGAAGTTATAGAGTATTTATTGCCATGCCAGCTGACTCTGTCATCAGATAAGTTATACAGTATATATTGCCATGCCAGCTGACACTGACATCAGAGAAGTTATACAGTATGTATTGCCATGCCAACTGACACCGTCATCAGAGAAGTTGTACAGTATGTATTGCCATGCCAGCTGACACTGACATCAGAGAAGTTATACAGTATGTATTGCCATGCCAACTGACACCGTCATCAGAGAAGTTGTACAGTATGTATTGCCATACCAGCTGACACTGTCATCAGAGAAGTTATACAGTATGTATTGCCATGCCAGCTGACACTGTCATCAGAGAAGTTATACAGTATTTATTGACATGCCAGCTGACACCGTCATCAGAGAAGTTGCACAGTGTTTATTGCCATGCCAGCTGACACTGTCATCAGATAAGTTATAAAGTGTATATTGCCATGCCATCTGACACTGTCATCAAGTTATACAGTATTTGTTGCCATGCCAGCTTACACTGATATCAGAAAAGTTATACAGTATTTATTTCCATGCCAGCTGACACTGTAATCAGAGAAGTTGTACAGTATGTATTGCCATGTTAGAGGACACCGTCATCAGAGACGTTGCACAGTGTTTATTGCAATGCCAGCTGACACTTTCATCAGAGAAGTTACACAGTGTTTATTGCAATGCCAGCTGACACTTTCATCAGAGAAGTTATACAGTGTGTATTGCCATGCCAGATGACACTGATATCAGAGTATTTATTGCCATGCCGGCTGACACTGTCATCAAAGAAGTTATACAGTATATATTGCCATGCCATCTGACACTGTCTTAAGAGAAGGTATACGGTATTTATTGCCATGTCAGCTGACACCGTCATCAGAGACGTTGCACAGTGTTTATTGTCCCGCCAGCTGACACTGCCATCAGAGAAGTTATAGAGTATTTATTGACATGCCAGCTGACACCGCCATCAGAGAAGTTGCACAGCGCTTATTGCAATGCCAGCTGACACTTTCATCAGAGAAGTTATGCAGTATTTATTGCCAGGCCAGCTGACACTGTAATCAGAGAAGTTGTACAGTATGTATTGCCATGTTAGAGGACACCGTCATCAGAGAAGTTATGCAGTATTTATTGCCATGCCCACTGACACTGTCATCAAAGAAGTTATACAGTATTTATTTCCATGCCAGCTGACATTGTCATTAGAGAAGTTATACAGGATTTATTGCCATGCCGGCTGACACTGTCATCTGATAAGTTATACAGTGTATATTGCCATGCCATCTGACACTGTCTTAAGAGAAGGTATACGGTATTTATTGCCATGACAGCTGACACTGTCATAAGGTATACAGTATGTATTGCCATGTTAGAGGACACCGTCATCAGAGACGTTGCACAGTGTTTATTGGCATGCCAGGTGACACTGTAATCAGAGAAGTTGTACAGTATGTATTGCCATGCCAGATGACACTGATATCAGAAAAGTTATACAGTATGCCAGCTGACACTGATATCAGAAAAGTTATACAGTATTTGTTGCCATGCCAGCTTACACTGATATCAGAAAAGTTATACAGTATCTATTGCCATGCCAGCGAACACTGTCATCAGAGAGTATGTATTGCCATGTTAGAGGACACCGTCATCAGAGAAGTTGAACAGTGTTTATTGCCATTCCAGCTGACACTGTCGTCAGAGAAGGTATACAGTGTTTATTGCCTTGCCAGCTGACACTGATATCTGAGAAATTATACAGTATATATTGCCATGCCAGCCATGCCAGCTGACGATGATCTCAGAGAAATTATACAGTATGTATTGCCATGCAAGCTGACACTGTCATAAGGTATACAGTATGTATAGCCATGACCGCTGACACTGTCATTAGAGAAGTTATACAGGATTTATTGCCATGCCCACTGACACTGTCATCAAGTTATACAGTATTTGTTGCCATGCCAGCTTACACTGTCATCAGAGACGGTATACAGTATGTATAGCCATGACCGCTGACACTGTCATCAAGTTATACAGTATTTGTTGCCATGCCAGCTTACACTGTCATCAGAGACGGTATACAGTATGTATTGCCATGCAAGCTGACACTGTCATTAGAGAAGGTATACAGTATGTATTGCCATGTTAGAGGACACCGTCATCAGAGAAGTTGTACAGTATGTATTGCCATGTTAGAGGACACCGTCATCAGAGACGTTGCACAGTGTTTATTGTCCCGCCAGCTGACACTGCCATCAGAGAAGTTATATAGTATTTATTGCCATGCCAGCTGACACTGTCATCAGAGAAATTGTATTTACAAATGTATTTAGCTTTGCAAAAAAAAAAATGTCTTTTGGGGAAAATGAAAATGGTTGGTAATTGATAGTTTCACTTTGAATATTCTTTTTAAACATCTGTTTAGTCATTTAAAGTAAAACTATTCAATTATTACCTTTGATATCTTCTATTCATGACATGCAAGAGAGAATGCGCTATTTAACATTATGGATTTGTGATAGGTTATCTCCCCTCATTTTCAAAGTTTACTTTATCAAACATGTTAATGAATGCAATCTGTGTGTCACCAATTTATTATAACTTGAATGAAAATATCATGCATACTTTTTTTCCTGGTTTCTTTGTGTAAACTCTTTTGGAAATAATTATGCATATAGAAATCAGAAAGAAATTTCTACACATCTTTGAAACAGGAAAACCAGCAAGAGTCCTTTATGTATATAACAGTCCACAAAAAGTGCATGGCTTTTCCCTGACATTTGAGATTTTTAGGCAAACTTGACCAATACATATAAACATACCTATAACAAGTGGCATCTGAATTTTCAAATAATAATCTCAACAGTTTGACAGTTGAGATTATTAGGCAAACATGTGTGGCAGATTTTAATTGTACATAGGATATACGGTCACCTTCTAGCTTGGAGCTCTTTCCTGTTACAAATGGTTTCTGTGTGCATGCATGGTGACTGATGAGGGAGTTTGAACCTTGCCATGGGTTTTTGGTGTTCTGCGAACACATTAAAAAAAAAGGGGGAAGTAGTGTGGCAGATTGTAATTGTATACATAGGATTACGGTCGCCTTCTAGCTTCGAGCTAGAGTGAATTTCCCTTTAGCTAAGTGGTAGGGTGTCTGACTAGGAACCCAGGGATCGCAGTTTGATTCCCGGTGGAAGCACACTATTCTCTTTCCTGTTACACTTGAAATACATATAAACATACCTATGACCAGTGGCTTCTGACTAACAGTTTTCAGTTTCAGGACACGTCCTTCCTGCGCCACAACTCCCTGAACGTCACCAACCTATGGGAAATATGACGTGTGTTTAAATTTTCAACAGTTATATATAAAATTCTAATTCAAAAATTTATTTGCACATTTGTAACTACAAAGTAGTTTGAAGGCAAAGTAGTAAAACACGGTGAAATACCTACATAGACATGAACATGTAGAAAAGTCGCAAAGTGATTGCTTATATTTCTAATATACATTATCATGAACAAAATTAACGTAGCTTCAAACAGAAAATTTGATTTAAACCTGTTTAGCAGCAAAGTCCATACCTTATCCTGTCGGCAAGCCCACTCTCCTCTTATATACATGTATAATTATGAGCTTATTGCTGGTTGTTGCGATCATGTAGCTTCTGACAACCAGACAATTTTAGATATTGCGTCCGGGTATTAATATTAGTACATGCAGAAACCCTCCACATTAAAGCCATTTTGGTCTCTGTGGAGTATAACTATATATAGAGAGATAGAGAAACATCTCCGTTTAACCCTAAGTATATGCACTGCTGAATTGTAATTTGAATCAAGATCCCCACGCCACTGCTATAACCAGTAAATACACATTGGAAGTTTTTTTTCCAGCATGACTATATGTTTGATCGATCATTTCTGAAAGAAAACCATACCCATGGTACAGTGTACTTTTATGGTACAGTGTACTTTTATGAAAAAAATAAAGACACCTTATATATAAAATTAATAAACAAAATATAATCAGCAAAAACAGTGATCCGAGTGTAAAATTTTAGCAGAGCTTGAACAGGATTCAAACCCTGGAACTCAATTTGCTATACTGCGGCTCTTACCGGTAAACGAGACCTCACCAAACTACACTTCAGTTGTATCCAAAACGAAATGAAGGGGAGGTTACTGTTATACGAAAATAAATCAAGCAGAATTCTCTAGTGTTTTGACTGGAGTGCGACAGGGATCCTTAAAACAAATTAAAGATATTGAAAATTATCAATGAGAACTGAATCTTGGCAATCCTAAACTTTACCCTATACATATAAATTGCTACAAAATAGCTGTACAGTATAAGTTATATAGGCTTAGCCTACAATGTTGTACAAAGTGATACAAAAATAGACAAGGCTAACCTGCTTTCCTTGAAGCCGTGAAAGTCGGATATCAGAGCTATTTTGGCACGTTTTTATCCCTGCGATGGTCAGACAAAAGGTGCCCGACCCCTGAGACTGCTCCCCTTCAGTACGCACTAGTAGGACAATCATAACCAGCAAGAGGAGAAATCCTCGGAGCGGGTGCAACCCCATGTTTGTATTTTTTCTAATAGAGTTATCTCCCTTGAGCCTTATCGAATCTAGATATGAACACGTACGTTTACGAAAATAGCCTTTAGTCTAATTATTGATTTAAAATACCAATTAGCGATAAATAATTAATAGCCTATTTTTATGACTTCGCACTGTCCATGTCAGAAAGAAAGCGTTGAAAAGAAAAGTGAATATATGTTTCGTGTAAGTTGACCAAGTAAAGTGAGATGCTTTGGGTTGATCCATAATTCGTGAACATATGCCGGTCTTTAAATGACGTTTCAATTAACTGTCTCGCGGACACATACCCTGTGGTTAAGCAAATAAACAATAAAAAGAGCCAACCTTAATCACAAATGGAAATAAAAATTGAAATAATAAATAGTGCGGTTAATGGTCTGCATTAAAAAAACACAAAAAAAACATGCAAGACAAAAATAATATTGAATACAAAAAACAACAAGTTTAAATTTGTGTATACAGTCAAAATAATATTGGATAGGCAGAATATTTTTAGGTATGCAATATTATTTTCGGATATGCAAAGATATGTAATTATGGCACAATTGCCAGCCATTTTGTTTGAATACAATTATTCAGAGCAGATTTTGGACAAAGGAAACCACTGCAAAATGAATAAGCATGGGGTAATGGTACCCGACACCATTAAAGATTCAAGATTCAAGAAGCTTTATTTAACGTCGCATATACATGTAACATAATAACATTAGCACTGTAGTGCTATTCTTGCGACAAAACATATAAAATTTAACAAGGATCACAGTACTTATGAATAAATATAAAAACTGGACAACAATTCAAATTAGATATGCTAAAATTATACAGTAGAGCATATGATATCACACTTGAATGTCACACAAGTGTTACAAAAGACAAGTTAAGACACTGTACTAGTGTAATGTACATGTGCATATATGCTTATGTAGCAAGGTGTAAACATTTACAGGATATAAACTAATATAGTGTGAATTAAAAAGAGACAATGAAGTCATAAATAGAAACAGAGCTATAATTATGATATTGTAAAAAATAATGATCTTTTAAATAATGGAGCTCAAATCTAAAATAAATATCAATTATATAATAAGTATATTACTGAAGTATATTAAATAAAATAACACAAGCAGCAGTGAAATTATGTGGTACCTGTCGGTATGCCTCTTCCAAGGCGGTCATTGAAATGTCTGCCACGTGGATAAAGTATTTCTGATTGAAAACAATTATTCAGAGCAGATTTTGGACAAAGGAAACCATTTCAAAATGAAAAAAACATGGGGAAATGTATTATACATGAACTTTATCTTCAAAGTCTCAGCAGAAGAGACGCTTGATCATTACCGCCAATTCCTACGACATCCATGACGTCATAATCATATGATTGGCTGTCGGGATGCTGGGTTTGAATATTTCTGCATGAATGGGTCACCGAATTACTTGCGTTTGGTCGAAGAAGCGATATTCAGATGAAGTCAAAATGTCACTCAAGTTCAGGTTTGTATTATAATTTATTATATTTCTGATTACTTTTCTCTTTGAATTCATCCAATTTTGAATGTGCGTTTTCCTCTTTTGGCGCTAAAAAGTGTTCCGTATTTTGCCGAGTTTGTTCATTCTCATAACTTTCTCTTTCGTCAAATTTTACACAGTGCTACTGTTGGGTGCGGAGTGAGAGAAAGTCTGTAATCCATGCGTGTGTGTTCCCTGTTATCCCGTAATATTTGAGTTTGTATTGTATTCGTTGACTTTGTCAAAAGCTTTAGCAAAATACATTATGATGATGTCTGTCTGTTTGTTGATGCGAGATCGTGTATGAATGTGGTGAGCTTTGTTTCTAAGGATCTAGAGGATCTAAAGCCGTGTTGTAGGTCATAATATGTTGTTGTTCTTCAGATGTGTCATTGTGGCGCTTGTTATGATGTGTTCCATGAGTTAACATGTGATGCAGGTTGGTGATATTGGTCTATAATTTTCTAGGTTGTACTTGTCTAAGTTGTCTCATTGTTTGTATACTGGGTTGACGTTTGCGTGTTTCCAATCTGATGGTAATGATCCTGTAGCGAGGGAGCGGGTGAAGATTTTTGTGAGAATGGGTGCTGTGCTGTCACTTAATTCTTTAAGTATTCTGCCGTAAATATTGTCAGGTCCTGTTGCTTTATGTGGGTTGATGTTGTTGAGAAGTTTATAGATGCCTTGTTGTATAATGTGTATTTCTGGCATGAGAGGGTGTGGAGAAGGTCCTTTGTCTGGTATGGGGCAGTCCTGTTCTGTAGTGAATTGTTAACTTTGCATGTAGTGTCAGTTTTTAGTTGTCCGTCTTTACGTAGTGCGGTTATGAGTTTATTTTCCTTGTGGTTTGTATGTAGGGGAATAGTTTTTTGGGGTTATTTTTTTACTAGGCGAGGGTGTGCTTGGTTTGTCTAGTGGTAGGTCTTTTATCTTTTTCTTTATATGTAGTTTAGATATACGTTGCGTGTTTGTTTTTGTAGTTCTGATTTTGTTGATTTATATTTCTGTATAAGTTCATGTTTTGTTATGTTTTTAGTCTGCAAGTGTTTACATTTTTTCATGAGTCGACGGAGAGAATGTGTAATCCATGGAAGTTTGGATTTGTATGTAATTTGTTTTTGAGGCCGGATATTTTTGGTGACTGAATAACTAAGTGTTGTTTTGAACATGTTCCAAATATTGTCTGCGGTTTGGTTAGTTTGTTGTTGAGTTGTTTTTTTTTTTTTAGAAATGTGAGATCGTTTCTAATGTTGTTCTTGTCAGCTTTGTTGTATAGGTATATGGTTCTGGGTTCTCTTCTTATTCTTTTCAGTCGTCATGGTCGGATTTACCTATAGGTGGTGTGGTTTCAGTCTTGTTAATGACTGATGGTCTGTTTGTAGGTGTCAGGTTGAGTATGTGGTCTCCTCTGGTGGGCTTTGTCGCTATTTGTGTGAGGGAGTTGTTGTCTATGATGTCGGTGAAGTTTTTGTTGTTGTTTGATGATTGTGTGGTAAGTTGAAATCTTCACTGTTGCATGTTATTTTGCTGGTGTTTTGACCTAGTCTGTTTATAGAGATTTCTAGTTGTTCTAGTGAGTGCCCTTTGTCTGATGGTGGTCTATAGTATGCTCCTATGGTGAGGTTGTGTGAATTTGTCATGGAGATGTTAGCCCAAAGTGATTCGCTGTCTGTTCCTAATTCTTTTATTTGTTCTGTGTGGTATTTGTTTGTGATTGCAAGCAGCAAACCTCCGTGGCTTTGGCCATGTTTATTTGGGGTGCGGTCTTTTCGGTAGACAGTGTATTCTTTAAAGCATGTCGTCTTGGAAATAGGTTGCCTTATGTTCGCAGATGATCTGGTAATATTGTCTGAAACAGCCGAGGGATTATAAAACTCATTAAATGACTTAAATAAATATTGCAATAGATGGAAACTTTCAATAAATACCCGAAAAACAAAAGCAATGATATTCAATTCAACAAACCGTGTTATTGAAAAATACAAATTTAATATTGGTAACTATAATATAGACGTGACTAAAGAATATATATATTTTGGTAACCTGGTAAATACAGCAGGTAAATGTACACCGTCTGTAAAGGAATTGTCCAACAAAGGTATTAACGTTTTTTTGCAATAAAAAAAATGCAGAAAATATAACAAACTCTTTCAATCCCTTGTAAAACCTGTCCTGCCATATAATGCAGAAGTATGGTACATGAATTTATACCAAAATATATTAAGCAGAAAAATCCGAACAGGTAATAGCAATAAGCAGTTTTATTTCTCCTTTATTGATAAATCTCCCTTTGAGCAAGTACATTTGAAATTCTGTTAACATACGCTAGGGATTAGGAAAAGAGCAGTAAATCTAGGCTCCAGAGCAGACCTGGGACATTATACTATTGAGACCCTTATAAACACTCAAGCATGTGGCTATTTAAGTAGAATACTTCAAGATTCAGACAATTTAAACCCTCTGATAAAGGAGGCTCATCTATTAAAAAAAAACTTTACATGAAAATGGCACATGCACCTGGTTTAGTTATGTTAATGATATGACATTAGACAACGATTTACATCAAATTATACAGGATCCTGACGCATTGTATAGTATAATTACCAACTTAAAATTAAAACCAAGCAAAATCTAAAAAAGCAATATGAGATAAGATTCTTTAATAAACTAAAAAAAATAAACGAGAGTAATAAATTATTTATGTATAAAGACTTAAAGATTGAGTATGTCCCTGAAAAATACCTTAACATTAACAGTAGTAATTTAAGGAAAATGTTTACTTCATTTCGTTTATGTGAACACAAGCTGGAGCTAGCCATGGGGCGTCTCAAAAGTATACCAAGAGACCAGAGAAAAATGTGGTGTGTTAGAAAATGAAGTACACTTCTTTTTTCACTGTTCCCTTAATGAATCTGCCAGAAAAGAATATTTCTAAAAATGCATTTCTAATCATAATGATGTTACCTTAGATACCAATTATTTGACCTCAATATTATCTACAAACAACTCCCAATTTATACTGGACTCTTGCTTATTCGTTAAACAGTCTTTACAACTGAGGAGATGGGCTTGCTGACAGTATAAGGTATGGACTTTGCAGCTAAAAATGTTATTAGAAATATAAGCAATCACTTTGCGACTTTTCTACATGTACATGTCTATGTAGGTATTTCACTGTGTTTTTCTATTTTGCCTTCAAACTACTTTGTAGTTACAAATGTGCAAATAAAAAAATAGATTATTTTTGAATTTTGAGTAACTGGGAAGTTAAATGTATAGCCGTTGAATTTGCTGCTTACCAAAATACCTGCAGATGTAAATGATGATTAGTTGGTGGATTAAGTGCCCTTTGTCATTACAAAGTTCTCTGAGTTTAATGTGCATGTTGATGTCACGGGGATTAACCAGCCGGACGTCCATGAGGAAGTCAGTATTTAATATGACAATGTTATGAGTAATTTTTTGTTTTAAATTTAAA